CGGTGGAGGCGGCGTCCCCCCTACTGAGCCGCCGCTCCCGGCAGCACCTGGGGTTTTCCGGCAGCTTGGGGCTGCTGCTCAAAGCGCCCTTGCCTGCTCCGGCTGGTCCGTCATGCCAGTCCCAGAGGACAGGGAGCTTCCCCAAAGGCTGGCGAGCCCAACAGGGTACCCCTTAGAGATCAGCAGGGAGCCTGTGCAGGGAGCCGCGCACACGGGCGCAGCCAGAGTCTTTCCTTGGCGTCTGCCCTGAGCCAGACCTTGATTTCCACAGGCTGTCAGCGCACTGGGAGGAGATGGGCCGCTGGTACGCTGCTCCGTTCTCGCTGGGGGAAATGAACGCCTCGGGAGCCAGGCTGGTCCTTCCCATGCCTTGACTGTCCTTTTGCTAGCCCTGAACACCTTCAGCACAGGCTGGACTCAGACAGCACCCGACAGTACCCGGCGCAGGTGGCGTTGGCGCCAACTTTTTTCCCCTCTGGTGTCCGGCCGTGTCTGGAGTACGGCACTGTGGCCATGTTGGAGGGGAGGTTTCTCTATGTTGGTCTGCCTCTCTTCTCCCAGGGTTATCTCCAGAAAACATCCCAGGGATGAAGACTGTGGCTGTGTTTCCCGCTGTGGAGCAGCGCATCATCTGGCTACCTGCCACCCCGGAGGCCAAGGCCACCCTGGCAAGGACCTGATGTTCTGAGACACCGGATCAGCATCTCCTGATCTGTGGTGAATCCCAGCACGTTTTGCTGACTTGACATTAATGTGCTCCGTCCTTTCGCTTGGAAGCTCCTGGGACCTGCTGTCCCCCTCACTGACGGCAGCCTGTCACCTTGAAATGACCAAAAAGGAAGGATGTGCCCAGGATGCGAAATTGCACGTTGTCAGCTCTGGTTTGTGCTGGGAACCCCTGCGCTGGCAGAATATTTGAATTGTATTTCCTCTTGCTCTGATGCCGGTGACCAGGGCGAAAAGCCACCCTGCTGTCACCCAGGACAGGGTGGCCAGCACAGCCCGTCCCGTCCCCAGCCGTGCCGTGGCAATCAGGGGCGGAGGCAGAGACTCACGGAGGCGAAGCGACATCGATGCTGACAGCTGCCTGGCCTTGGCGGAGCACGCTTGGGCATCCTGTCTTCCAGAAGAGTCCGAGCGCCAACTGCGATCTTGTTATTCACTCTCTTTACTTTTGATAAAAACTCCCGAGAAATGCGTGAAAGGAAAGGACGTATCTGCAATACCTGCCCATTAATCGTCTTCACTGACATCAAATGTTTATTTTGCAAGGGCGGGCACAGCTGACCTGGGTGTTTGAACATGAGTTATCCTTTCTCATCCATCCAGTTGAGAACAGGTGGAAAAGGGTAATGACTCAAACCGGAGTGGTGTCTGTCGGGGAAGCTCACCAGACTTTCACTTCACTTGTGATCTGCAGACGCCAGTATCTTCTGCTATCAGCAGCTCCCTCATAGGCAGGGAGGGAGCTTTGATTGATTTACATCAGCAAGAAAGAGGATGTAGATGTGTAGCCAGGGTGTTGGGGAGGAGGGAAGGGGAAAGGCCCGGATACTGCCTTGCGAGAAATCGGTACAGATTGTGCTAGCCTCTGAGATACGCAGGCGTTCGGATGGCTGTGCATCCCTGCCGGGAAAGCCCTCACCAGATAATTTTTTTCTAAGACGGTGATGTTCTCCCTGTGCTACATTCCTTTCCCCAAGACTTCTTAGGCTGAAGAAGGGATTGCACGAGCAAAACCTGTCCAGAAAGGGAATAACTTATGCACTTGAACGGCATCAGCTGTTCACCCAGGGGAACTCTGCCCGGTGGCGTGTGTTTTCAGTCGCTCCACATATGACTGCAAAATCTTTCGGACCAAATCTTTCTCTAAAGAGAAAAACAAAGAGGACAGAATCTGTTGGCCCCCGCAGTGACAAGATCTGGATTTTTCTCTCATCAATACAAACGAAAAACAGTCCCCCTGAAAAATCTAAGAGGTACTTTCTCAGCCAAGGGAAACTCCAGCAACCCTGAGCATCCCTGCTTGATCTGATGAAACATGCAGCGGCGCTGAGGAGTTTAATGCTGCCAAATCGCAGCGGTGGGATTTTACACTTGCTGTCCCTAGGCTTTCACAAACAGCAGGCAATGGGGAACGAAGCCTCATAACTTGCAGAAAATCGTGGGCCACGCTGTGGCTCTTGCTGTTGCGTGCTCACTGCCGTAGATACAGCTAGGTAGGACAGGCTGGGCTCAGTTTTGCATCGGTGGTGGGGAGCATGTTGCAAGCCTGTCCGGGACAGCAGTCCTGCCACGTGCTGGGAAGTTTTTTGGGAAGCTGCCTGCTGTTAGCATGCTGCCCCTGGGCTTCGGCTGCTCTATTTTCCACACAACACGCACCGAGCAGCTCTCGTTGGACCAAACACATCCTCCAGCGCTCACCCACTCGTTTTTGTGCAACGGCTCAATTTGCAAATGCTCAGGGGCAGATCCTGACCCCGGCAGTAATTGTAAGGGCCTGAAGCGGTGAGCTGGGTGAAGCAATCCTGGATTTACACTAGAATTGGGAGCTGCCCCTTAGCTAGCAATCTCCTTTTTTAATACCCCATCCCGCCACGCTGGAGAGCACTGAAAATCGCTCCCCTTGCTTCCATTTCCTCAGGAAATTTGCAGAAACTTCCCCCAGGACTCTCCGTCAAGGGCCGGCTCGCAGCCCTACTCCCACCCCCCTCCCCGAGGCAGGCTCCCCACGGTTCCCCAGTGCAAAACCTCCCTCCTGATGACGCTTGCCTGGCCCCATGGGACAAAGGGGTAGGTGCTTTACATAGGAACCCGTAAAGAAACCAAGGGCAGAGCTCAGCTGTTGTAGTCACTGCCGTTACACCGATTTACCCACAACGTTACTGTGGCCCTTTACCTTCAATACAACAGCGTTTCACCTGCACTGCACGTTAGTTTATGTATTCAGTGTACCACGTCATTGTTAGATGGGCAAAATCATCAGATCGTCTCTCTTCTCCGCAACGTTTCCAGGATTGCAGCCCAGCATGGTCCCTACAGAGGAGAACATCCAGCTCATCGTTTTCCAAAGGTGCATGTAGCTACTGGCTCATTCTGTAAGTGCTCCAAAAGTACTCGTTCTAAAAAGAAGAGGAAAAAAATGCTTAAATGTGGACCTGCGCTCAAGGTAGAAAAAGCTACTTCACTGCCATTCATTAAGTTTTGGTGGTCTCCCAGCTCAATCACAGAATGCACTCAACATTGAGAACGCGTGTAATTATGTGCACAGTGTGGCTGTTGGAAAAATGATGTCTATACTTGGGAAAATATAGGCTTTTATCCCTCTAGTGTCTTAGAGAACGAGCTGAAAAAGAGCTGGAGCAGAAATCTTTGTATTAAAAACAGCCTCCACTAAACAAAATGCCACTACATGGTGGTTTTAAAAGCTAAAACGTGGTTAGCTCTAATACCTGGAAAGATAGCTATGAATTTTCTGTTTTCTTCATTTCATGCAACTTCTGGACAACCACTTTTTTGCTTACTGTAATAAAGTGAGTTTCTGTAGGCACAGGAGGGTCTTAATTATGACGTGCTGACTGCCGCCTTCTTTTTAAGGAGCACGGGGTACTAAAATCAGGGCAAATACAACAGCTAGTTTTAACAGTGGAGGAACAACCTTTAACAGTCACAAGGCAAGGCAAACTTCCTTGAGATGGTCTCGAACAGAGGGAGCGGCAACAATTTGGGGTTACCTTTAAGGCTCCCCTAAGAGGATCTTGGCCATGAAAGTCCGGCTGACCCAAAGCGTGTTGGCGCCAATGAAAGTGGCAGCGGGTAGTTTGACTAACTGAGTTTGTTAAGTGGGGTGAATAATATATCCCTTTCCTCACCTTAGTGGCTTGGGTATGAAGTCACCTTGGAGATGTGTATCACAACTCATTTGAAAGCGCATAGCATGTGAGTAAATTATACGGTACTGCCCATTTTGAGGCATTGCAGCCGCACATGAGGACTGGCAGCATGTGACAGAAATAGCGTGATGTTTTTCTTCTGTGTCTCAAGTTATTTCCAATCGTGCCCAGAGTAATAGAGAAATAAAGGACATGTGAGGATTGTTTGGGAATTTTCTCCTGGAATTGCAGCTGAAGTCTTAACTTTTTACTTTATAATCTTCCTTGCACAGCGTTTTTTTCAACCTGGTTCCCAAGCCGAGGAGCTGGTGAGGCAGGTAAACACAGGCAGACGGACAGAGCGTGGACGTCCCCCTGTCAGAAAGGATGTAATCTCAGCAGCAAAATGCTGGGAGCTGCCTGGATCCGTCCCCTGCAGCAACCCAGGAAAATCCCCTCAGCCAACAAGAGTCCTCTCCCATCCTAACAGGACGCTTTTTGTCTCGGCGTCTTGACAAAGACACACACAGCCCACGGCGTGAGAGAGGGGCTGCCGTTTTGTCGGTGCAGGCCCGTTTCTCCTCTCCCCTGCGTTCGCTGTTTTGTTGGTGCTCAAGTCCTATCATCTGATGTGAGAATCAAACACAAATTTTAGAAATAAACACATGCCCCTGCTCTCATCTCCACCGCGGGCACTGGGGGTCACGCAGCCCGTCCATCTCCTGCCTGACAGCAAGCGGATCCCGAGCCCCCGACTCTCTCTGATCTTAGACTCACAGGGGCAGGATGAGGCAAAGGTCAAATTTCGGCCCGTTGGGGGCAAACTGAGCAGAAATGGTGCAAAAAGAAGTCCCCGATTCTTCTCTGAGCCAATATGGCTTTTGTCTGGGGCTGATCACCTGCTCCCCATGAAAGGCCCTTTGCCCGGCTGTTGGCGGGACCCTCACGGTATTTTCCCTGATGAGAATGGTTTTCCTTCTGATTCTGCCCACCATCAGGAAGAGGAGGACATCTGGTACCGCCTTACCACAGCTGGGTTTTTGCCTGGTGCCTTCCCATCAGTGCATCAGGAGGTGAATTTTCTTTACCTATTTGAAGTCATTTCGTATGTGAAGGAGCAGTGAATCACAAAGAGAAGCCTAAAGCAATTAGAAACTCCTTTCCTCTCACCTTTGCCGAAGCTAGATTTTTTCCCTATAACAAAGCCCAGGCAAGCCTTCCTACGCACAACAATGATTACGTAGATCACTCTGGATTTTGTTTTTTTTCACAGGCTACGAGCAGGCAAAGCAGCTCAGGAGAACACTCTATTTCACAGGCATGTTTGTTACGCTTCTTTGGAAATCCCATTGTTTGCTGGTAGTGCCTGCTCTTGGCTACAAGTGCTGTGCCCTCCTGACGTCGGCTGCCTTTAATTGTGCCGGGGTGCTAGCAAATAAGCATGAAGTTTGGCAGACTAAAAAGGTGCCACTGGATTAAGTCAGTCCTGGCAGTTGGGGCATTCATTTCAGTGTGCTGAAGTGGGATCGGTGAGCGAGTGCTTTGCGAGGCTGCTTCCAGTCACACACATCCGTCCATCCGTCAGCGAAACCTGTGCAGACAGAGCACCTCGTGTCCCCTCTTCCTCCCGCGTTGTGTGCGTCCCCAGCAGCTGGAGCGTGGGGCCAGTGCTTTCCCAGGAGAGGACGGCTGACACACACCGTATGAGTAAGGTCTCGTTTGCATAAAGATTGCACACTCATGCTGTCAAGGAGGTTTCCTAGGCACAGCCTCTTTTCCTTCTGTAGGCAGTTTTGCCTTCATGTAGGAAAAACCCAATTCTTGAAGTCCTTGGACAGAAACCAGCTCACACTGACACACCACAACGCCGTCCTCCTGGCACGTTTGGGTCCGCCCAAGTCTGACTGCACGGAGGCACACTCTGCCCCTCTGAAGCAAAACCGCGTCTCCGCTTTAAGTTGGATGCAGGTATACTGCTTCCGTGGGCCGTGCTCTGCTGACAAGAGGTCTCATTCTGCTCCTAAAAGGCTTTTCGACATCACCGATGCACTAGCATCTGCATGGCTCCTTCCCTCCTCGGGGGCTTCACCCAGGAGTTTCAGCGGGAGCAGAGGTCTGCTTTGAATGAGGCAGGAGGAACCCAGAGGTGGCAAATTCAGGGCTGAGCACGTTGGTCTCCACCACTCAAGGCTGTCCTCG